AACAAAAAACTTGAAAAAATACGTCGAAACTCTAAAAATAAATCATAAAGAAGTGTTTCCTGAAATGCAGAAATCTGTCGTATTGGAGACATGTAGGATTGTCAGGAAGACTCTTAACTTACCTGAAAACATGTAATGGCGAAATCCTGCTGAAATAATCGCAAGTTTGAAGCAGCTTGAATGATCACGAATCCCACGTTGTTGAACAACCCTGCAAAGGAGAAAAAAAAAATAAAAAAAAATAATAATAATAATTTATTAACAATCAAAGACCATTTACAATAACATTCATTTACATTAAACTTAAGTAATGTTTAATGTCTATCTTAAACTTATTGAAAGAGGAGTTAAAAAAATCAACAGTAGGTGGAAGCCGATTTGCTTCTCTAGATATAGGTGAATAAAAACCATAATTTGTTACATGGGAGGATACACCAAAGGTTATATTTTGTCGAGTTTGTCTTGTAGGTACCTTAAAATTAATTAGTTGCAATAATGCCGGTGAAACAACCCTGAACAATGTCAATGTGCATAGATTAAAATACAATCTTCTTTTTTCCAGTGACGATATTTCCAAGAGAGCCAATATGTCACTATATTGAAGTTCATCTCTTGGAATATTTAGTCGATATCCTACATGATGCAGAAACTTTTTTTGGACTCTCTCAATTTCATCGATCCATTTTTTATAATAGGGAGACCATACAGGACAAGCATATTCAGTGGCAGATCTGACTACTGCACAGTAAACATTTTTCAATGCATATATGTTATTGAAATCTTGCAGTGAACGAATGACAAATCCAAGCAATTTAATCGACCTATTTTTTAGGTATTCTATGTGAGGTCCAAATGTGAATTCTTTATTAATCATCACCCCAAGGTCCTTTATGATCTCCTCTCTAATCAGTTCCTGATTATTTAATACATAGGAGTATACAATGAATATCTTCAATTGGTAGAAACTGATTGTACAACATTTACTTACATTAAGTTCCAACTTATTAGACTGACACCACATAGCAAAGCTTTGTTGGTCTTCTTGAAGTTTTAGACAATCACTTTCACAACAAATAACCCTAAAAATCTTCAAGTCATCTGCATACAATAAAATTTTGCTGAATCGAATACAGTCCTGCAGATCATTTATAAAGCAGTTGAATAACATAGGCGATAGATAGCCGACATTGTGTTCGGGATTTATCTAGAAAAACCCGGCTCCCTACTCGAATGGGAATTCCCTGAATAGTCGCCCTAGACGTGAGCAACTCGATTCCTAGAATTTTGGCTGGATTTCCATGCATTTTCCTAACAATATTTTGCGACATCGTAGCTTGGCACTACTTTTTAGTTTGTACGTCGTTATTTAAAAAAAAGTATGTGGGTGTCTGAAACTGTTTTTTTTTTTTTTTTTTTAAACTCTCCTTGATTTTTGAGGTGCGCGACGAAAAAAAAATCTTATATTGTCTGCCGTGATTGTAGACCTGTTCAATGTTCAATAATTGTTATGATCGTAGTTGGCTGAGGTTCTCTTTTTCTGTCATGAACGTACGTCCGTTGATAGATTCGTATGCGGTTTGATGGAAACTGTCACTAAATGACTTCTTATTTCTTGAACCTATTACGATTACCTAATAAAAATGATGTTGAAATAGGCATGATACCGAGCAAAAAACATTGCAAATCGTGATAAGAATTTACTCAACAACCGTTATCTCGGTGGAACCTAATAATTTTGGGGCGGATTTTCGAATGTGGCTTTTCCCTAATCTCTCAGAAAGCTATCTAATCACCAGAACTATCATGCATTAATTTTTGCCTATATACCTATAGAATCTATCCTAACTGGAGTCTTTTATAAAATCCTGTTGTTCGATTTTTCCCCCAATTTCAAATGCACAGACACTAGGCCCATGCATGTCACTTATTATTGTGCCTTATCATTTTGCAAATATTTAACAATTATCAAACAACACATGCCTACAAATTGAATAATTATTATCACCTTATTAAGGCTTATAATGTTATTATAGGTGCCAGCATCATTACTTCATCTAGAGATAGCAATTATGTATTATTGGTGTTCATATGATGGAAATTTTTAGTGTCAACTGTTAAAATGTAGGGAATTTTTTACGTCTATTATTTACGATTCCCTATAAATTTCCCATTATGAGGATAGCTAACATCGTTCTGATACCTGTCAAACTGTTACAAAATAACACAATGTCCTTTTCTATTTTAATGGCATTTTTAATTAAGAAATGTTAGTAAATTGCGTTTTGGATGCAAGATTTCAAAAAATTTAAATGGCTATTTGTTTTTTTAACTTTAAACATTTCAAGTAGAGAATTTTAGATTGTATACTTGAATTATGTATACTTGAATTACTACAACGGTTAATTAAAAAAAAATAGTTTTTCTAATTCAAGCTCAGTTCGGTCCTATTAAAAAAAAAGTCCTCCACAAGATCGTACGGGTTTCATTTGGTTATACTTCTGAATCACTCAAAGCCATAAGAAAGATTTGAGTTTGGGATCAGTCTTGAATTCCATTTGCAAAAATGTTTTTTTTATTCACAATTATTTCAATAAACATTAACATTAAATTGAAAAGTTGTTTGTTTCTTCATCAATTTTATGCTTGTATACTAACAATTAGCAACTGATTGAGGCACACAATAATTTAATTTTCAAAAACCTATTAAGTAAGTACTTTCTCTGTAACTTCAGTCTTCGTTCAGCTGTAAGCCAAGTACCAAAACAAATGCTGTAGCAAAAAAACATGTTTGTTGCGTATTTACTAGAAAATAATTAGCAACTAATTATGGCATACCTATACTACGATTAACTCCGCAATATTGTTTACTGCTAAGGAACATGAAAAATTGATTACCTATAGGTGAACACCTCATTAACTCTATGTCTCGCTTTATGTTGACAATCAATTTTCTTGGCTGAGAAGTAACAAAGTAGGTATCTGACAATTTTCTGAGGATTTCAAGTTCAAGCCATTAAGTATATCCAATAAATTTCAGATATAGTTAAAGGCATTTGAAGTACCTAGTTTAGTAGGATAAATCTAGATCATGAGTTGAAATAGATGGTGCTGTCCCGTTTGATATACTTGGTTTGGTCATCATAACATAGAGATCTTATTTTTATAAATGATGTCATTTGTACTTAACTGTTGCTTATTTAATGTTGACGTCCTTAAATGTATTGTAATAAAACACGTTCCGTGATCCTCGAGTACAGTACGAGACTTTACTAACGGGTGTTCAATAATTATTATGGCCGCACTTGGCTGGAGGTTATCGTTTTCTATGATAAACGTAGATCTGTTGATAGGTTCATATGACTTGATGGCAACTGTCATCTTATTTCTTGAATCTATCAGTTTTCAATAAAAATGATGTGAAATAGGCAAGAAACATTGCAAATTGTGATAAATATGTACGGGCAAACAAGAATTTACTCAACAAACGTTTTCTCAGTAGAACTTGCGGTTCTTTGAATCTGACTTGCTTCGAACCTCTCTGGGCCCGTATTCTCGTAGCTGGGGAACAGCGTTCTCTCAAGAGAACAATGCTCTGTCTTTGTCAGTATTATGGAAATAACAATATGGGTGACTAAGACAGAACAATCGTTCTCTTGAGAGAACACCATTCTCCGGTGACGAGAATACGGGCCCAGGGGCCTTATTCTGTAAAAAACAAACCGTTCGATTCGGTAGAATTTTTTCGATTGTGACGTCATTTTTGGCATTTTCGGAATAGCGTCCTCGCTAGCAAACCGAAAATGACGTCACAATCGAAGAAATTCTACCGAATCGAACGGTTCGTTCTTTACAGAATAAGGCCCCTGATGGCTATCACCAGAACTGCAATGTTACATATAATGTTTGCAATGTTAGCCAAAACATACGCTTTTGTGACAATAGCCATCCATAGGCGACCTGACTATAACAATTATTGAACATCCGCTATTTATTTAATAGTCAACGACACGTCTTTTCAATGTACAATAGGACCATGTGTCAAAATACTACTCACTTATAACTGACAGTTGACATTATTGAAATAATGAATAGCTACGTTGTTTCATAGATGGTACTAATATAGGTTTCTCCGAGGGTTTGTTTATGTTGATGAATCCTGTAATTTTGACAAAATTCTGTTACTTTGTTTGAACATTGGATGATTGTGTTGATGTGCGAGGTGGTTTAGACAAACTCTTATGTTGATGTAACACTCTGTGTCACAGTAATTACTTACCTATTTAATTAGAAATTTGAGTAGGTTGTTCAAATCAGCACTGCCTCAGAAGGTCAATATTATCTTTCATACAAACGCTCTACAGATTCCTATAACGAGGAGGAATAACAAATGCCTATTGTACTAACTTAGCTAAAAAAAAATTTCATTGGTAACCAAATTGGAATTACCTCTAGTATTTAAACTTATCTAGAGAGGAGCTTTCGATTTGTTTGAATATTACCTGTACAATAAATATTATGTAGTTTTATTTCATTAAAGCTTCATAACAATTTAGTATCCACCCAGCTAACAGGAAAAAAATAACTGGACAACTTATCGAAAATTAATTTATTTTCTGCACCTGTTGATAATTGCTCGGATAATTGTATTTTAATCATGGTTATTTTTGTTACATAAATTTAAAGCAGGTTGATAGTGATTGGTAAATTATTCAAAATCAAAGTGGTCTCTTCATCATAGTTGTCACAATTTAATTTTTTTCATTTATTGTTGGTTTAATTATAATGTGAGCTGGGCCTGTCAAGTTCCAAAACATAAAAAAGCTAATCCCAACTATTGACGCGTCAAAGCGAAATTTACAACATCCCAACCAACTGTTTTTAATTATGACGTTTACCTAACAATAATAAATTAGAGATAAGGTTTAAGTTTTGTTTAAACACATATATACAGTCACAATTCAGTCTCCAGTCAGTCTAATCGCGATCGTTACTTGTTTCAGATCAGATCGCAATCAAGGAAGATTTTTTCGAAGATACAAGAAAAATAAATTTTAATTTGGGAGTAAAGCAGGGATGGTGTTCCTTGTGCCAGGAGGGGAAAGCCAATCACCTGATGCTCATGGCAAATGCGGTAGATTCGCAGCTGGAACTGCCGATTCTACCCCTAACGATCTACTGCGGTCCAGTGATAGACAATTGGAAAATGAAGAGGTTGACTTATTACCTTTAAGTAATCAAGTAAGTACAGTTAATTAAACTTTGTTGGCACGAACTCTTTATAGTCTAGATGTGATTTTTCATAACAGGTCTTCAAAAAAAAAAAAACTAAGACAAATAGTGCTTTGATTGTGAAAACGTACACACGTCGCATTATTGTTTTTTTATTGGTCAGTATTTTTGACATGACATTTTGACATTACAAAGTTCAATGACAAAATAGCCAGAGCCATCTTTGATTAACTTTTTTTTGACGACTCACTGTTCTTAAATTACTTCAACTAATTTAAACCGGTTTGAAGTTAGCAGCATTTTCCGGGATCCAAAACAAAACAACTTTTTAAAAAATTCAAACTAAGTGTACAAGTAATGTTCTAATCTAATGTATTCCATCGCCTTTGTTGTTCAAAATCTTGCGAGCCTTGATATCGCCATACTGCTCTATTCAGAGCCGTAACAGCCTCCCAGTCACCCACATCGATCTCACACGATTCCATCTTTGCCTTGAGGACATATTTGTATCGTTTAAATTACCCTCCTTTGCTGCGTTGGCCATATTTTGGTTGACCATATATAATTGGCCATATTTTGGTTGGCCATATATAATTTGCATAGGAGGGCGTGAGTCTGGCATGCGGACGACGTGGATGAGCATTACCTTAATGGTGGTGGGATTCTCAAGGATACTGTTGTTCGATGTACGATCCTGCCAGTTTATTGAGTATTCTTCTTATGCAGCTTTTGTGATACTTTTATGAACACCTGAGTTGCCGCCTTTAGGTTTGGTCTAAGTTTCACATCCGTAGATAATTGTTGGTATGGCGATGGCATTGTAGTTTGTGAGTTTAGTTTGAGCACTTATGTCGTTGTTGTCAAACACTCTCCGTTATCATCAGCATATTGGAGCTCACAAACAGTTGCTGTGGATACCTTGTTCTTGGCTCGAAGTCTGCTTAGTGAAAAGCTTACCATAATTTCTATAGGAAATTTCAACGCCCAACGGCAGGTTTTTTTGGATAACTTGAAGTACGGTTCCTACAAATATAGAGAATAAATAGGCTTGACGCAATGCACATCATCCTTGCTTCGCTGCGGTTGTGATTTTTAGGGCTTCCTCAGGTCTGTTGCTGGTAAGGTCAGGAACGTTCATGTTGTCATGCAGTAAACAAAGTATGTTGAATAATTTAGGCGGTATGCAATGCCAGTAAGTATATTAAGAGAGTCAAACGCTTTGACATGTTCTATAGATGCCATGTTGTTTTGCTCTTTAGATTAGATTTTCCCTATATTTGTCTTGCACTGAGATCATGTCTGCTGTCCCTCGATTAGGTCTAAAGCCACACTGTGTTCGAAAAACAATCACCTTATGGACTATTTTTCAAAGTGGTCAGAAGTAGTTCCAATTCCCAATCCAAGGTTTTAGTGGTAAATTGAACGCGAAGAAGTTCATTCATAATCACATAATCAGTAAAACGCGATACGGTAGTGAGTTATGATTAAGTTTCGTTACTAGTTGGGCCTGATTGTAGTATGATCGAAGTGTTGTTGTAATAGTGCTAGTTTTGTCGTTATTTTTGTATGATTGTCTTGAATAATAGTAAATTAATTTTGGACGCGATGTCTTAATTATCTACGAACCCGCTTACAGAAAAATATAATGGGAGAAAGTCGTTTATCCTAGACTCTAGGGTCTACCTTGGGGCTTGGGTGATGGTACCATGCAATTCAAGTTTTTGTTAGTAGCTCTCATTATTAGAACATATGTTTTATCTTTGCCATTGTCATCTCAAAGGAAACCTGCACGAAAAAATAAAACAGCCCTTCTATCGAGGAAAATCTCCTTGTGAGTTTGTTCAAAAAGCCTATTCATTTCATGTAGTATTGTTCTTAAAAATGTTATTATTGATTGATTTACTTTTTCATTTTTCTTGTCAATAGAACATTTCTAGAAACATAAATTGGCCACTGTTGTGATTTAGCTAATCAATTAGCGGCTCTCATACTCGAGTATTTGTCAGAAAAATCACATTATTTACAGTCGGTACCTCGTAAACCATTTTTTTCAAATGTAATACTGAATTTGAGCAATATTCTGTAACTTATTGACTTATTGTGTCTGAAAGTAAAGGTCATCAGGCAGCTGATGATATATGATGATGACTCCAACCATATTTCAAGTTATTATCCGCTATAAATTAAATTAAAAAAATAATAATAATAAGTACAATTTGTTTTCGTCTGTATTTCTATTTGTAAAAAACAATGAATTATTGAACAACTGTTGCGTTACTCAAATCATTAGGCCAACAATCATTAGGGTCACTAGGAGGGGTAGGGTTTCCCTTCCTTATCTAAGTTTTCCCTCCTCTAACCATTTGGGAAAAAAATTATAAAATTTCGAGAGGTCAGGTCGAAAATCTGTTCGGGATTAAATTTGGTATGCCGGGTGAAGAAGAATGTTCTTTATCGAGAAAAAGAAATCAGTGTTGGAGACTCATTCGCGTTTATTTGCATCAGTTATGTTTCTTTCGTTCAAACACACCATGCCAACGTTATATTTGATGGATATTTTGTGGATATTAAAGATCAGAGTACAAAATACATAGAGTGATCGTGACGATCGCGAATGCATGCTTCAACAGAAATATCGTTAGAAGAAACAATGATTCCAACCATATTGCAAGAAAAATTTCTAAGTACCGACAAAAATGATAGTTATTTATATACCACGAAATTAGGGTGGGCTATAAGCACGCGAAGGGCCTCAAACAGCAGTTGCGTCTGTGATACATACAAAACTTTATGTACGATCGCCAGTAATTATTATGCGAGTTATTATGTAATTCAAGAACGCGTTCAAAGTCAAATAATAAAAAAAATGGAGGTTATTTTCAATTACCTACCAGTAGAAACTACAGTTACTAACAAACAAGCAATAAATTTAATCATTTTGGTTCGTTCTTGAAGGGTAAAAATAAGTAGTTTATTTATACCAGTATTTGTTCAATTTTTGACACATCACGGTGGCACTTTGCGGCCCTGCTGTCAAAATTATCAAATTGCTCTCGCAAATTAGGTGTTATAGTTGTTGGCGAAGATATTGATCTCTTATTGATGTTGACAGGGATATTAACAAAAGCGAACATCTATTTCATTGAACTTGCGCGAGGACTTTGCAACATATATATTCAATAAACAGTATGGCAGATAAAATGTTTGCAGAAAACATAACATTGTGGCATGCCTTTATAGCGGCTGCGATACGACGTCATCTCTTTACAATCAGAGCAAGCTCAAATTTCTAAATGTGTTGCGAAAAAAATCTAATTTTGACGAAGTTATACAAATATTTAGAGAAAAGGATGTCGACAAAGAAGTTATAGCCAAAGCTGGAGAATACCTTCTTCTCATGCTTTACGGCTATAATAAACTGGCATTTATGCCTCTAAACACTTATATAGACACCAATACTTCAATAAATCAGCATACAGGAATAAGTTCAACATCGCGTCATTGTCTCCTACAGAATGTTTCATCAGGTACAGCAATGAATTGGTAACGAAAAACCTGTAGACCCATGGAGTTGGAAAAAGAACAAAAATTGTCTTGTCCCCCTGACTACACTCCATGCCCTTGCTCCAGAAGTTCTTCTTCGACTAATTTCTTGTAAATGCAAAAAGAGATGTCGAGGAGCATGTTGTTGCAGGTTGCAGAAAAGCAGGGCTCATCTGCTCTATAATTTGGGCAGACCGTGACAAGTGACAATAAATTTGATAACATGCCTCAAGTTGTTTGGAAGATGAGAACACTGATACTATTTCAGAACTACTGTTTAATGAAATTGATGCAGAAAACAGAGAAGAAGCTACTGCGGCGAATTTATCCCACACGACTATGAGACTTTATTGTCTTCATAGATAAAGCTGGTCCCTCAGGGGTATCCAACCGAAAAAAAAAAATGGTGCAATTTTCACTTAGCAATTGATTTGTGGATTAGGCTTACTGGGGCAACAGAAGAAAACACGTGCCGTCTACTCTACTTCAAGGATCGTGTGGAAATTTGTAGGTATTACTGAATGCCAAAAGCCTCATTTACACGGTGCAAGAAGCTTGAGCAAGTACGAGTAACAAGTACGAGTAACGAGATACTTTGAAAAATCCCTTCTTGCCACCATTTGTTAGACTTAGACGGTGTCAGCAGCAAAAATAAGAGGTGACAAAATAAAAAATCGTTTTGAAATACATAAAATCGCCCAATAAAACTGCAACCGCAAATTTTCCCAGATAAAAGGCATTCTACAGCACGTAATTACTGGACTACGGTTTTTGTTTAAATTTAATTTTTGTTTCAAGTATTGAAAAATAGCAGTATGCAATTCTGTATAGCAACCTCCTTAGGCAACCTCTATCAATAGTTTTTAATCATTGTGAAGTAAATGCAGACTTATTTTTAACTGTGGAAATTATTTTTGTTTTATGATTATTTGAACATACTTAATATTATGAGCATATGAGCCTTGAATATAAAAAAGGAGTGTGTGTACCCGTAAGAATTGAAGCTAAAGGACCTCGCACACCTCTTACAGGTATTTGGTTTTCTGTCAAACTCAATAAAATTTTGATATATGTATTAGACCTTGACTTTCTGAATCCTGATAAAAAGTTCTCATGGGTCTGAAGAGGTTGTTTAATGTCCAAGAAATGTACAGTAAGAATCATTGCAATTGGCATACACTATATAAACATCCCCCGTTATGTGTCAACATTTTACTTCATTGAAACACAGGTATAATGTCAATATCGTGTCAGACTGATAAATCAGTGGTGAACATAATAGTTTTAATCTGGTTTTGATGAACTGCTGAAGAAAAAAAATATTTGTACAGGGCTGGACTGAATAGATTAGATTTATTGGTTAGAATTTTTACTTAGTACGAGGGATGTTAAAAGAGTATAGTATATGCCAATTGCAATGATTCCCCCACTGCACACATTTTATATGAATTAACATCTACCTCTCAGTGTCACCTGAGCGTGAGGATACCTGTCCATCCTGGTATATTATTAGGTTGTATTAACAGTAAATGCATATAAAATGTGTACATTTCTTGGACTTTATTTAAATTACCTGTATCTCAAAAACTAATTGTAGGATTGGTTCGGGCCCATGCACTGGCGTAGCCAGGGGGGGCAAGGGGGCATTTGTCCCCCCCAAGACCCTTAAATTTTATGAATATTTCTTCAAAATTAAGATAAACAGTCCCAAAAATAGCGTAAAGAAACCTGAAAAAGGGGCGTGGCACCCAAAAATTACGCGCCTGCGGCGCTTTGCCTCCGGCAGCGGTCGCGGTAGGGCCGCAAAAGACCCTTCCTGCAAAATTTGCCCCCCCAAGACAAAATCCTGGCTACGCCACTGGGCCCATGAGAACTTTTTATCAGGAAATCAAGGTCTAACCACATATCAAAATTTCATTGAGTTTGACATAAGAGGTGTGCGGGGTCCTTGGTTTATTTACTTTTTTTCTTTTCTAATACAGAATTTATAGGTGTTTTCTATTTCATCAATTGCCTTCTAAAAGTTTATTTTATTATATTTTTGTAATTTGCGTGTGCGTATCATGTTTTCATTGTCGATAAGTACCTCTCCAACCGAACAATAATATTTTCCACAACAAACGAAACGACGAAGTTTATGAATCACTTATAGGATCAAATTCATATTTGGCGACAACCGTAACTCGGACGACAAGGCAACGCGAAATTTAAGTTTATTAATCCAGCTTAAACGCTACTGGGTTATAACAAAGAAGGATAAAAATATTCCCACAGTAGAGGCATTTTTCCCATCACTATACAATTAAATACTAGTTTAATCTGGATAAATGAACATTAAATCTATCTGGGTATGCCGATAACCTGACCCTCGCAGCATTTATCAATAAAATAAATGAAAGATTATTATCTTGATTATTACGAATTGTGATATGAAAAAATTACAATTAACGTTTTTTTTCCATTTTTCTAGGTTGGAGGGCACACCAGAATGATGGTACTGAACCCTAGCACAATATGTAAACCATTGAATTTCAGAGAATTGGATTTTTACCAAAATATCCAAGATCAAGAAATAAAAATGTTCGTTCCTAAATACAAAGGTAAGCTGAGTAACACTTTCGCAAAAAAGTGAATCGATTAAAAATAGGGGACACTAAGACTCGGAATAGTCTAATAATAGATTAGTTATAAGTTACTGTATAGATAATAAAACTTGTTCTTAAATTTTAGATAATGTTGTTAAATATGTTTTGTGTTTCTGTGTTAAATATTCAAAATAAATATTATATTTATGTGAAAAAGCGTTAAATTACGTTTCAACATAGTTACCTAATAACCATGTGGTTGCTGAATCTCATGAAGTTACGCACTATAAAATATTTGTGTGAATATTTAAGTATATAATTGTGTAGGTATCCATAAAATAAAATAGTATCCTGAAACCGATTTTGTGACATCAAATTGTTATCATTATCATTTTTCATATTCTAACATTCATTGTTTTATGACTACTTACAATGTTTTATTTTTATTTTAAACCATTGTTTTTTACATTGCTGAATGTTATGAAGGTAACATAACAATTTCATATTATTTTTTTATTCAAATTGAGTTCTGTATGGTCAGAATGAAAGATAAGGCTGATTGAAAATTACATTTTCAATTTTTAAATATTCCATTTTGTTCCGTGTCTTTTAAATACTTTCTTTGCTGATTGATGATAAAGATATATCATTTTGTTTATTTTGCTGCCAGTATTCGAATTACTATTTTTAGTCCATTCAAACTAAAAATATCTTGTTAATAATATCTCATATTTTTCAATCGCATTTCAATGAGCTGACCTAATGAATTGCTCCATGAATATTAAGGAATTATTTAAATAGGGCAATTTAAGGTTGAAGTTTAAAAAGATTTTCGGTTTTTGAGACCGCTTCTTTCTAGATTGGATTAATTTTTCCTAAATCCTGCAAAGAAGACTTCAGGGGGCGGATTCTCGAGCAGGGAGTAGAGCTCCCCGAGAGAACAATTTTTTTGTCCTTGTCATTCTCGTTTACTTTTCGATTACGTTGACAAGGACAAAACATTCGTTCTATCGGGGAGCTCTACTCCCTTAGACGAGAATCCGGCCTCTGGCCATTTTTGCAGATACTTCAAACTTAAACTAACATAATAGTTTTTTAATTTATAAAGAGCAACATGTTTATACATTTTTGTGGTGTTTAGTATTTCAAAAAAGTAAGTAAACTTCTAATATTTCTTTTTTTTGGTAAGTATACCCATCTGAGTTACTTTCTAGAGTCAATGTACGAATTTGAATTTTTCAGTTGGCACATTTTGTTATAAGAAACTATTTGATATAAAATTCTTCATTGCTATAACAAAATGGTGTCCAAACTGTTGAAATTTTAGTTTGACTGATTGAGTGAATGCGGTCTCCCATAGCAATTTCCACACAAACCGTTTTCATTGTTTTATTGAGGACACCTCCTCCTTCCCCCACACCCTAGTGCCGACGTCACGGGATTACGGCTAGATGGGCTGCTACTAAGTACTGCTGCTGCTACGCATGACCGAAAAAAACAGTCAGCAATGCATGCAAAAGCCAATTTTGTCCCAGTCAAATGGTACAATGGGTTTGTATGGACCTGTACTACTACACCTAATTTAAGGGTTGGACTTATTGCTCTTTTATTTGAATTTAAAAACAAATTGGAGGTGTTTTTCAAAATGTACTAGTCAAGTATCTTCAAGTTAATTCCAAAATAAATTTTTGAAAAACACTCTTCAGTTTTCGATTTTAAAAAGTTATTTAAAATTATTATTGTACAAATATGTTTTGTGTTTTATAATACAATGCCGCTTGAATAGCTTTTACTTTCTCATCTTTTGATGTTCTGTTAGTGTTTTTATTTTTTTATAACTTCAATTCATCATTTTTTAAAACTAATACCTACCACCAATATTCATTTAAGTATATCTCAAAATTTCGTAACTATTGAAAATTCAAATTAAAATTAAGAAAAAAATTATAAAAAAGGCAAATAAATTTCTATATATGGGTGCGAAATTGTTTCAGGGGTAATGCAGGCCACTTTGTGTAATGGTTCCAAGATGGATAGTCGATATAGTCCTATTTTTAGAGATGATGGTTTGAAAACTATCAAAAATGAGAGGAAGAGAAAACGGGAAGAGGTTTTGAAGTAAGATTTTTCCACTTCTAATGACTACTTTTGGTATAACTACTTGGTACCTTCTCTTTTTTAGAATGAAAATCCACCATACCGGCAAGCCTAAAGACGTAATAAAAAGCATTTCCCAATCGGACAATGCAAACAAACAGTATTTTTTGATGTTGGAGAATATAACGTCACATTTTGATCATCCATGTATATTGGACTTGAAAATGGGGACTAGGCAACATGGCGATGATGCTAGCGCTGAAAAACGTAGTAAGCAGATAGCTAAATGCGCTGCTAGTACTTCAGCAACTTTAGGTGTAAGGTAAGAACTTTGATGATATAAATTAAATAAATATTTCGAACCATATGTGACTGAATTGAATAAACACTGAATTTCAAAATATCAAAAGCAAAACATGGTTGTAAGTAGGTCATTACTCTTAAACACCCCTCCAATAATTATATAGTAGTTCGGAGAAGCCAAAAATAAACCTTCTGAACTAAAAATAGATATCCTTCAGTGAATTTCCTCTTTGTTTTATGCAGGATTAATTATTTGAATTATTTTTCAGATTGTGTGGTATGCAAACATATCAATCAGATACGGACTATTATTACAAAAAGGACAAATATTGGGGACGAGAATTAAACGAAGAAGGCCTAAAAAATGCTCTGTGTAGATTTTTCGACAATGGTCCAGGATTGAGAGTCTTTGTTATCACAAAAGTTTTGTCTAAACTAGGACAATTGCGAAGAATTATTGAGAAACAGAGCTGTTATCGATTTTATTCTTGGTAGGGAATCAATTGTCTAGTAATTGACTACCTAGTTCAACTAATTTTTATTTTATTTTTTTAGCTCTCTGCTAATAGTTTACGAAGGATCAGCCCCTTCCTTTTCAGGAGCGAAACCGGACATCTTGCAACCTGTATTCACTAACACTTTCAGAGAAGAAAAAAGCGTTGCCACCACCTCGTATTTTTACGACGCAGACACCAGCAACTCTTCTCTTGACTTCAATACAAGTTTTAATAGTGCCGATTTCAGCAATTCTTTAACTGACTTTAAAGACGATAATAGTTCTTCAAGGGAATTTATGCACAACATAGCTACAGCCGATTCAAGTGAAGAAGTTAGCCAAGATTCGCATCATAACGGTTTTGGAGAGGCAGCAGCTAGAGGTGCCAGGAGTGCACCTCAAACTCGTAAATTTGTGCCGATTAATGAAGAAACTGTGTTTTTAGGTAAGCATATAAAAACAATTAAAATTCAGTTAATACCGTAGTTAGATCCTGGAACCTAATGATTAAACTTTTTTAAATATTGCTTTTAAATAATTGAACAATTCTCAACTGGTTTTAAATGCTGGGAGAAAATCTTCAACAATAGAAATCTGTAATCAGTCAGGGCCATAGATTTGTTAAAACTAATTTGGATATTATTTTGCAAGGTACTTGTTGGATACAATTGATTTCTGATTGCTTTTTGTGTCCAAACTTTATGTTTGTTCCAGCAATCAATAAGAAGTCACAGATCACTTAACCACAATCAAATTCTTGTTTGCAAGTCGTTAATAGATTATTTTTAGGGAATTTGATTAATTTCAACTAATACAGAGTCCAAGTAGTGCAGTGTTGGGTTTTGAAATACCAAATATACTTTTCTTCACTTTACCAATTTTTGCTTTTCACATCGCACTACATTCGATCATAACTGGCAACAGCGCTTCAAACCTTTCACCAGCGGCAACCGCAACAGTTGTTTGCGCTTTGTCGTTGGAGCACTCTTCTTAAATTTAATTGGTATGATGGCGCGTTTAAATGTTTTTAAATTTTTCCAGTTTCAAAGTGCCTGTAAAAGCTTATTTAACCTTATCAGTTTTTTTTTTTTGGAAAATATACCTAAAATAGTCCCTCATATAAGATTTTATGCTTAAATTACGTATTTAAATTGTATTGAAAGAGCCCATTTACATTTATTTATCCAAAAGTATTACAAAAATGGAGTTTATAATGAGGGTAAACAGTGTTACAATATTACAAAAAAAATCTGGTAATAAATGAATAAGTAATACAATAATACTCATAGACAAATTTGTTGAGAAAAGGCATCTAGATGACCTAACATCTGTATGTGCCAGTGAAAATAAATACATACTAATAAAAATAAAAACTTCAGGCAATGCTTTCAAATTAGTGATACATGCAATGAGCATGATATACAAAATCCAAAACAACAATTTAAATAGTTCCAAGTTTTCGACAATAGATTCTACAATTTTTTCGAAACAGATTGATTGAATAATTTTATGATAAAGATGCATGGTATGGTAAAATGAAATTGTGGATAAAATTTCCCTTCACAAAAAAACACGTGCCAATCTAGTGTTGTTAAGCCAATATTGATTATTAACGTTTCCAAATTATTTATTCGTCTCGTTGAGTGGCGCGCACAACCAGACACGCGCGTACATGTACATTTTTTCAAACGCCATAAACAATCAGTAAAGCAATCGACTTAAATTGAATATTAGCAACTAATTCCCACTAGATATCGCTATACTTGCAGTACATGTAGCTTATCTCTTTCAAATAAATGTACAGGGAGTTTCACGAACATCGAAGTAGAGGCGTTTTACGGTATTTTAAGATCGATTTTAAAAAAAACCGCCCCGGCACGTCATTTTTGAATTCAAGTGGAAAACTTTTTGACTCCATCGATATTTCACTAGGGTGTACCTCCTGGGTGGGGTGACTTTCACCCCTGTTTTTCAGCTAGGGAAGATGGGTCGAGTGGTACCTTGTTTTAAAGTTATTTTGATTCTCGTGACAACTGTGTACTTTTTTTGAAAATCAGATGATTAGTTCTCAAGATATTCACTGTCAAAGTTGCCATGGGCTAAATAGGAAACAATCCTCTGACCCTGTTATTCTCAAATTAACACTTTCCTTACTTTCCTCTCGGACGCGTCAATTTTTTTTTTATGTGCTTAAATTGACTTGTCCGAAAGGAAAGTCAGGAAACTGTTAATTTGAGAATAACAGGGCCAGAAGATTGTTTCTTATTTAGCCTAAGGCAACTTTGTCAGTTAATATCTTAAGAACTAATTATTCGATGTTCATAAAAAGTACACAGTTGTGACGAGAATCAAAATACCTTTAAAACAAGGTACCACTCGACCCATCTTCCCTATCTAAAAAAGGGTGGTGAAAGTCACCCTACCCAGGGGCTGCACCCTAGCGAAATACTGATGGGGTCAAGAAGTTTCCCCCTTGAATATAAAATTGATATGTCGGAGCGTTTTTTTTTTTAAATCGACCTCAAAATACTCCAAAATGTCTCTGTTTCGATGTTCGTGAAACACCCTGTAAACAACTTATAATACAAAAAAAAAACAAAACAAATACCTACATGGTCTAAATTAAATAACACTTGACCATCCTACCAAATCAAATGTCCCAATTTCCTGCTTAAAATCCCTCTGAAGAAAAAGGTTTAAAAACAAATTATTTATTTATTTATTCATCAACGGGAATATCCCAATTTTACAAAAAATAAGTCTAAGAATAAAATGGTAAAAAAATGTTGAAAAAAAATCAAATACACAATATATAAATGACACAAATTATAAAATACAAACTACATTTACACCAATAGAACATCACAAATCACTAAAATATGTAGGTTAGGTGTCTAATATATTGATTATTAAGCGCTGCCCTAAGGGAGTAAAAGGAGTTGTTAAACAAGTCAATTCTCAATTAATTTGCATGAGACATCATTCTATTTTCTATGGATGAGAATTGATCATAATTGGTGCGATGGTTTTCAATACTAAATGTATTCACAACTCTACGTGATCTAGGAGGAGTATGAATATGAACAAGTTGCAGGAGGTCACTACAATCTATATTGTTATTAACTATTTCATAAATAATTACTTTATCAAAATTAATAATTCTCCTTTCATTCAAAAATTTTATATTCAGCATGTTCAGTAGATGATCATAAGTACATGTTTCAACATCAAGTCCCAATCTAAATCTAATGAGACACAAAAATTTGCGCTGCACTCTTTCTAGTCTATCTCTATGACACTGATAGTAGGTATGGTAACCCTACATAAGTAATATTCTCCAATTGAGATCTAACTAAATACACATACAAAGTTTTGACAGCAAATACATTTTTGAAATCTTTGTTATGTCTTTTTACAAACCCTAACATTTTCAGAGCTTTATTACAAATATAATCAATATGATCCACAAAAGTTAGTTTGTGGTCCAACACAATTCCTAGATCCTTAATTATAGTTACACCATCAAGCAGAATATTTTGTATGTAATATGAATTAAGTTTTGGATTTGACTTTCTGCTAAATTGTATACATTTACATTTACCTATGTTGAGGTGTATATTATTATTCTCGCACCATTTCTCAAAACGTTGAAGGTCTTCCTGCAGGAGTACTGATGCATCTGGTGAGTCAATCACCTTAAATAACTTTAAATCATCTGCGTACGATAAAACATTACTATGATGGAAGCAGTCACTAATATCATTTATGAAAATGTTAAAAAGTAATAGGGCAAGACGACCCCCTTATGGAATTCCAGATGTTACATTATAATCATCAGATAAAGATGTTCCAATTTTTACCCTTTGCTTACGACCTATCAAATATGATTCAAGCCATTTCAACAATATGCCAATCACACCATAACCAGAAAGCTTCTGCAACAAAATACCAAAATCAACCCTGGCAAAAGCCTTTTCAAAATCTGTATAAATGGAGTCAACAGCAAATTCATTCTTAAGCGCTTTAGATTTTACTTGTTCGTATAATAGTTAATTTGTTGTTATTGCTCTGCTCTTTGACAAGCCATGCTGTTTGATAGAGATAATAGGTCTATTTCTGCAGAAATCACAACAGGGTTGAAAACAGTCAGAAAACTAGTTTCAACCAATGAAATTCACTCTGACTGGTTTGTGATTTCTGCAGAAACAGACCTAATATTTTGGAAATACACAGAAATAAATCCATTAAAAATACATTCAAAAATTTTGGGAAAATGTGACATAAAAGTTATTGGCCGATAGTTAGTGACCTCATTTCTTGAGCCATTGTTTTTATAAATTGGACAAACAAATGACATTTTCCATACATTGGGAAATATACCCAACGACAGAGATTTATTGTATCGGGTCTTCAAAAAAAAAAAACAATCAAAGATTGCTATGGTTTTTTAAATGTAAGTCTTAGCAATATTTTTCTTCAATTTTGTCAATGAACTTTAATGTCAAAATGTCATGTCAAAAATCCTGACCAATAAAGAAATGTCATGAAACAATAAAACATTATCCTCTACATCACCGCTTTCAAAGACATGATCCCAATTAACATTAAGTAAAAAATAACTAATATCACAAAAATTAGAACCCTTAAAATCAGAAATTTCATCATCATACTCAAAAAGCTTTGGTATATTATCACAGTCAGTTTACCAAAGTATCACTAGTGCAGACAGTCTTATGACTGACAGAAAATTAGGTCCAAATAAACACCCCTGTGATTTGGTACATTGTTGATTTAATACAGATTCAAATGTGAAAAGGTTTCAATAACGCTCTCTGCAACTGAGGAATATCCCTCAATAAGAGTTCCAAGAGCATCATTAGACCATTTTAAATTAGGGAGTTTGTAGTCCCTGGCCCGGCAACGAATAAACTATGGTAGCTATATAGACTAGATGCTTTTTCCACTGTTTCACAATGTTTTCTATAGGCATCGCTACATGATGATGGTGGAATATACACACAGCAGAATAGTTTTTTGAGGTTCTTGTAGAGACTTGTGGATACCCATATTTCCTCACTATCATTGCAAGAGATTTGCAGCAATTTACAAGTTGTTGGATTCAATTGACAGTGAAAGATTTTTGACACAAAATTGTTGAAAGAAAACTAAATCTACCTTCAAAAAGCATAGACAAATCAATAATTAGATCCTGAGAAAACATTTTAAGTTTGCTTGTATGTTTTCTTCATTTTCGTTCTAACAATAACCGGCTAGAATATTTAGGAATAATTTTGAAATCGTTTCTTAAAAATAATATCTTATTTTTTTTTTTTAGATTCCTCCCCAGTGAGCAGTGTTTCTAACGCTAGTCCTTGTTCAGTTAACAGCTGGATGGCATTTTCCAATAGTTCCAGCGGCGACTGTTCTGTTAGCAATCCGCACTCTAGTTCCAACGATGACAGTTCAAACGACAATTTCTCAGCACAAAAAGTTAAAAGAAGTTGCTCCTTGCCACTATCTGATTTGGATCTTGAAGATAGTACGGAGGACGAAGAATTGATACCCCAATTAGCCAGTAGGAATTCAAGCACTAAAAGGTTTTACAATTTTTCCAATAAATTATTGATCTAATACAATAAAAACTTTCTTTTGTTTAGGTTATGTGTTGGAAAAGTACCAGAGCCAGCTAAGAATACACATTATCCTCAAAATCCAAAAGTGGACATCCGAATCATTGATTTTGCTCACACGTCTTTTGCAAATAACTACTGCTTCAGCAATGTGAAAGACAACAAGGTGCACGAAGGTCCTGATGGTGGATTTTTGACTGGTTTGGATAGTTTAACTAGACTGTTATCGGAAATAGCTGCCGAACAAAAATAGATTACTTTTGGTCTAAAGCTAAATGCGTCATTTATAGATGTCGCTGGAGAATTTGTTTCTTAAAAATGAAGAAAACAAAGGCAGAAATGATACAATAATAATCTCGAATAATAATTCTGTATATTTCAGTTTATACAAAACGAATTTAACAATAATTATTGTATTAGCCATTACTAAGCCACACTGAACCAATGTTGCCAAATGTAGGAGTGTGGCAGGAGACTTAATTTATTTTTATTTTGTTCTGAGGATATTTTATTCGTTTTTTTTTTGTTCCGTTCTGTTTAATTTATCCGATAAATGTGATTATAATTGCTCAACGGGCAGGTATAACAAGTTATTTATGAAAAAAAAAGTGTGGCAACATAATATTTATGTCTACATAGATGTAATAAATTGTTTGCATGTACATTGGTTTTATCAACAGGCATCATCATGGGTTTCAAGAGTGAGATCATTCTTCTATTCTGGGAGGAGCTTCATACCCCAGATGAGCCAATGAAGCCTTCTGGAGCTTCTCCATAGGCCAACCTGACTATTCTCTCAATACTTTCACTACTAAATTCTTGCACCTTCTCTGTTAAGACTTGCAGTCTGCTGATTTAATACACTTGATTGACTAAGATATTTGTTCCCATACTTCATCTCTGTAGTGCAGTGATCGTGGCAGGTAGAAGTTTTCTCCTGACATTTCTGATCACATTCTGATGGGCCTTGATGAGGTAACAGGCGAAGTGATCTCAATAAACAGTTGTCGTGCTTTCTGTTTTTTGCTTCCACCTCAATAGACATTAGACGGACCGTCAGAAGAGAACTTCTTCTTTCTACCCATTTATGCCTCATGTACTTTAATACTATGTTTAGACTTTTATCAACAATTATTACGGTTTTTTTCTCATTCATGTTGGTATTAATATCAGTCAGTATAATACCAAAATACAATCCAAAACATTTTTTGGTCCTTGTGCATTGTGGAACATATATGATGCAGATCATTCGCTAGAGCCAAATTAAAGTTTGATTCAGGAGTTTCTTCTTGTTGCAATACTTTTAAAATTTCACAAGCTCCCGCTGATTTTTGTATTGCTAATTTTATTCAAAACTCCATGCCCTGTCCACATGCCAGGACCAGAATGAATGTTCCAACACTTGAGCCATAACAGCCATAAATATTTACGACTAATGACCTACCAGCTAACCACCAAAACCATACAGTTCAGACCCATGCCAAGTGCTCCCAAGGCCTTACTATTATAGATTTCCAAAAAATATATATTTATTTCTGTTTTGAGTGGGGACGAGAGACCTTGCAACGGTTTTGTTACATTACACTGCCAGGAAATGAATTATTAATTAATTTATTTAGTCATTGACAAACAATGCACTGGAACATCATCCTTACCATTTACTAATGATCAATTTTAAGTGTAAAACATATTTTATTTAAGTATATGTATTATCTACTAACACTGTTTTTTTTTATAATATGTAAAATGTTATAGGTAGTACTTACTACTACTAAGTGTATAAATATTCTAAACAAAACATCCAAGTATAAAGGACATGAACAGGGTTTGTTTAAAAGCATTGGTTTAGTGTGGACCATTCGTGCAATTTATTATTAATGTCATGATAGACATTGCATATTGCAGAATTCAAATCCAAAATCTGATTTTGGAAAATTTAAATCTGTTTTCTATTGATTTTAATTGGAACAGTGGTGAATGCATTTGTCAACTTTAAAATAATATGATATCTCGGGCCTGATTATAAATCATAAGGGTTCTTTTGAATTTGTTCATTATTATTAATAATATTAGTACATATATAATCTTATTGCATGTTGAATGTAAAAAGCAGAAAAACTGTGACAGTATTTTTTGTACAGATGCATATTATTAGTTATTTTTTGTTATTTTTCTTAAATTTTAGAATAAGTTTTTATTTGATCTGTGATTTTTCCTTTTGTTTGGTTGTGTTAATGAAAGAATTTTTTTACTTTGAAGTTGTGTGTTCGCTTACTATTTCTAGACATTCCCCATATTGGCCTAAAAAAATTGTTGCAATAGCAATTTTAACTTTTTTAGTATTCATACAGCATTTTTGATATTAAGTTATATAATTTTAAAACCATATGATTTAAAAATACACTACATTTGTAAAATATGATTTTTATGGCTGAAGATCATATTGCGAGTGCGGATTGTTTTAAAATATTCCCATTTTCCCCAACAAAAGAGAAACATCATTCGAGTTTTCCGCAAAATATTAAAATTTTCATATTTATTTTATTTGGAATTCCACATTCACAATATGACTTTTTCACTAAACTAAAACTATCCTTTGATGTTATATTTTTAAAATTTTAAAATTTGTTTGCCAAAAATACATTTGGATAGTGTTTTTAACATTAGGAATCTTGTGATACTTATTTAGGAATCTATTATTAAAAGTACTAAAAGTTGAAATCAATTTTTGGTGTTTGTCTAAATTTTTGTTTTTTTTTTTATTTATTTAATGGGTGCTTTAGGCTATTGTAACAAAAATATGTAAATTTATTTCCATTTCTCTATGGGGGACCATTTACGTGTTATATAATGCCAAATTTTATAAAGTAAAGTTTAGAAATATGATCGAAAGAAGTGTTCCATAACTTGTACCTATTTAATTACTTAAAATAAATAATTCAGTACATTTTACTTTCTTTATTTTGCTAGAGTTGAAAATTCCAATTATTACTTTGTAGTTAGGTCTATGCTTAAACTAAACTTTCCCCCTCACAGAATAATGTGTACTATTTATTATCCTGAGCTGGGAACTAATTTGTTAGTCTAAAGCGGAAGTTTCACACAGCAATTGACTGCGATAGCAAGGAGGCTGATCATGCTGTCAACTGTAACGAAATATCTATAATAAATTTCGAAACTGATGATGATGAGATGGCCCGTGGAGAAACTTGGGATAGACACAAATACCTTCTTGGTGATAAGCTTAAAATGAGCTGCACATTATGCAACAATGATGCAAGCAAGGTTCAGCCAATGTGGCCGTGTGATATGTACAACGATTATTTGACATTCCCTGCTCAAAAATTTTTGAACCACAGATAAGATGCATGGAAATTAAAAAATACGTATGTATTTTATGCTTTTATTTTGCTGATTGCAATAAATCAATTGGAAGTGAATGTTAATGCCGGTTTTCCACCAAACGTACTATTGAGTTTTTGTTTTAAAACATGTTTTAAAACAAAAACAAAACTGAACAGACTCGAGAATGTGTTTGAGTTTCATATTTACCGCTTCCGGACGGGACCCGAAAAACAAAACTCCAACTGTCGCAAAACACGCTAGTCTTGAAAATGTTTGGGAAAAGTTGGAGTTTTGTCTGAGTTTAAGTTGTGTTTTTGTTTTGTCGGTTTGCTGGAAAACCGGCATAAGAATGAGAAGTTTAAAGTTATTTGCAGCAGGCTCACGACAGGTGTTTTCAGAATGTTCTTTGTGACGTTTGAACTTTTTGACAGGTGACAGCGTTAGTATTCGAGAGAGTTAAGCTTAATTCTCACAAGCGCGAAATTCACTCTTTTTTGACATTGCTTCAAAAATTTGACGTTTGATACACGCATAAAACGTCAGCTTGTCGAAGCTGTCAAAAAAATAGCGAATTTCGCGCAAGTGAGAATGAGGCATTACTATCTATTATTTGCCAGATTGCGTAGGTGCATATGTTTCCAGGTTCTAGGTGGTATAAAATGTGGCAAGTAGCTGATCTAGGTGCTTTTAGTTGAACAAGAGCCTAAATTTTATGCTAGGAGCAGTTTATATCCCCCCTGATTCAGCCGCCCAAGTTTATGCAACTTTTTCCGAAACCCTAGACTCTCTTGCACTCCAGTGGCCTAACTCTACCCAACATATTATTGGCGATTTTAATCTACTACACGCTGTTTGGCAGCATGGCAACCTCGGCTCGTCAGTGACTGCCGTTAGTGCATCACTTCAGGAGACTGCTAGTGTGGAGGTTATGTCAAATACATGCAACTTCCATAACTTATTCCAGATCAACCAGTAACTATCGTCACACAACAGTCTTTTGGATCTGGTCCTCCCACGATCAACGGAAGTTTGCCTTGCTGACCATTTTTTGATGCCTCTTACTGTTCACCCACTTATAAGCATTAAGCTCAGGCTAACTGTTTAGAGACTGACAATAGTCTTGAATACAATGGTTTTTATAGACTTTAACTCAGTTAATTTTTGCGATATTGTTATCTTTTTAGAACAATTTAACTGGGATATCTTTGTCTTTAAACTCTTGTATAAAAAAGTTCTGGTCTTCTGGAAATAACAGAAGAAAAAATAATATTTTTCCAAACGAGCCTAAATACCTAGGTGTCTGTTACGGCAAAACCCAATTGACATGTCTAAGGCAACAAACATCATCAATACATTGTTGCTGAAGACATGTGTAGAAAAAGGATCTTGGGCATTGGCACTTCTACTTGTAGGCGGCAAATCTTGAATATCTATATTCTTTGCATGATGATAAAGCCATAATCTCAACTCATCTAAAGAGTTACAAGATGACTCTTTTCATAATAACTGCACCAAGTATGTTCCTGCAGATGAAATGAAATGAATGAAGCTTTGTTCTAAGTCAGAATCAGATGATATGCCAAAGTGTTCCAGATATGCTGTGGATGCATTATAAAGGGTTGCTTTTTTTAGTGCCAAACTTTCTTGTATAATCTGAAACAGATAGTGAGTGGATGGCTCGAGGCTAGAAGCAGAGAGCATTAGTGCGCATCCAAAATATCTTAACTCCAAGTTGATCAAGAGTAGCCCAGTGAAGTAAATGACTTCTATATTGCTGATTTCTAAAGTGAAACTGTGCTCAGTGTAGGTTTAAGATTGTTTAATAGCATCACTAGGCACATGAAAGAATGCAATCCATTAAAGGGGGTGTGACCCAAAAATTAAAGTTTTAGCGCAAAAAAATCTAATGCCGGTTTTCCACCAAACAAACAAAACAAAAACAAAACCCAAACTCAAACTTTTCCCAAACATTTTCAAGACTAGCATGTTTTGAGACAGTTGGAGTTTTGTTTCCCCGAGAAAACAAAACGTAGTCCGCTTGATGGAAACAAGAGTTTTGTGTTTATTTCAGTTTTGTTTTTGTTTTAAAACATGTTTTAAAACACAAACTCAACAGTCCGTTTAGTGGAAAGCTGGCATAAGAATAAGTATTTAAACCGCATCTTGCTACGATGGCCCGTTTTCGAGTTAAGGGCGGTTTAAACTTACAACTAGGCGTTTGTGACGTCACACTGGATTATCAGGGACAGTATTAACACATGCAGAATTTTCCAAAACAGAAGAAAATTCTCGCCTAGAGCGAATTACAACCACTGAAAGTATAGGCTACGGTTCACTGACGACTGAACGAACAGAATACTGCGATTTGGGCGGTTGTGACATCACAAATTCCTGCATAATTTATCTTCACAAGGAATTTTCTCGGAGACTATTTTGAATATAGGACTGCGGTTTTCACGAGAGATCTTAGATTTTTTTTCTTGATTTAAGTAGCTTAAGTTGTTTTTTAGGGTCACACCACCTTTAAGAACTTTTTTAAAACAAAAAGACTTGTAAAGACATTGTTGATAGCAATTTATTTGCTAATAAAGTGTGATAATAATAATAATAATAATAATAATACTAACTCTGTTCCAACAGACATGAGAACCGTTCCAGAACCAGTAATTTCCAGTTGCCCACCTATTTTTCAATAACTTGAACGTATATTCTAATTGACAACTGAATTGATAGACTAGAAATTACCATTCTAGAACCGTTCTCATGTCTGCTAGAACAGAGCTAATAATGAAACAAAGCTTACATTATTATATCAGTGTCAGCAATAACGAGAACGAGTTTGGTAAATCGACACAAGGATGCGTGTTCTGAATGAGTCAGCATAAAGTCTGCCTCTTTTATTAACCAGGAATTCAATTGTGGATGGTTTACTTGCATTCCACTTTGCACAGATGAATGATACCTCATCCTTCTTCATCACCATAAAAGAGACTAAAGGTGTGGTTGGTAGTATATAGTGTTCAGGCAAAGATGCTATCAAGGTATTAGCAAAACACCTGCAATTTCAGTTTGTTTTTTGATGATACCCAAAAACTGCTGAGCTTGACAGGTAATGCAACATCTTCAGATATAGGTATCTCTTTAATCTATAAAAATGCGGGTATCTTGTCTCTGCACTCTCTAAGTGGGCTCTGAGGGGTAAATGGGCCCTAGGAATAGAGGGAAAATGGGCTTTAAAAGGTGATGGTAAGTCATTTCGATTTAGCAATGAACACCTGCAATTTCAGTTTGTTTTTTGATTACACCCAAAAACTGCTGAGTTGGACAGGTAATGGAACATCATCAGATATGTCTATCTATCTATAACAATGCGGGTACGGGTACCTTGTCTCTGCACTCTCTAAGTGGGCTCTGGGGGGTAAATGGGCCCTAAAGATAGAGGGAAAATGGGCTTTGGAAGGTAATGGTAAGTCATTTTGGCAAAAATATGTATTTTTAATACCCATTTTACATAATATTTTCAATATTTCTCCTGGATCTCTGGAAAGAAGCGGATAAGAGGGGTAGGGAAGAGGATAAATTACACCTCCCCGTAAAAGTTTCAATGATAAGTGGGAATTTAATAGGAATCGATGATGGTTTTACATAAATATGAGCAGCTTTGTGACGCCACATTTGGAAAATGTACCAGGTGGTGGATCATGTCCATCCACCCAAGCACAAAATACTTACTAACACACCTACTAAACATTCCCGGAAAAAATCTCCCTATGCAAACTTTCCTACAGGACTATAGTCAGGTCCAGGATTATACCAATTAACGCATATTTCTTCCAGTATTTAGAAGCACTTAGCACCTATTTTCTATACAAAAACATTTTAGCCACTGACATCAGCTTCGCTGTGAATACACCACCAATTAAATGTAAAGCCAGATTCCCCTAATAATACAAAAAAATCTATAATTCAGTTAACAGTTAGCTGATTCAAGTTTTTCTTTGACTATCTAAAAGCAGCTAATTTTCATCAACAATAAATAGAAAAAAGTATTTTTTACTGTAGGGCTTGTAGCAGCATAGTTTTTCCGATTTTCTTGAAAACTAAAGGAGCACCTTATTTTTAATTAGAGGCCCTAATTACTATAATAATATAGGCCTCGAACTTTTTTTTCACCATGAAACTGCTAGGTTTATAGACCTTAATTTCCTGGTATTTCTACAGATTCAAATGCTGCAAAAAGTACTTTGGTTTTATAAAGACTAAATTCATAGTTGCAATCTCAAAAAAAATCATTTTCTCTAAGATTATTTTCAGTAGGTGAATGTTTGTGCAATCCTGTGAACTAAATTAATCCGAGTACATATCGCCCCTGTACAGCAAGAAGGGGCCATGTGCCAAATACAAGATTGTTGAGAAAACCAAGAAAATCTCGAATTAAACTGCAATTTTGAAATGTATTACTTATTTGCAATTATTTGTACTTCTCCTGTCTACATGAGTTTATGTAAGTGCCATTTGTTACCTTTTTACACAACGTGAGTTGGGGTATGAAGATGTTGTGGCAGTTATCTCAAAAATGATTCAATTCCCGCTTGGCCCCTATTTGCTCTACAAAAGCAATATGTAATTTATATGGAAAATTTTGATATTTACCATATTGTAATGTTTGTCAGCCCCGAAATAAAACTAAATAGTAGCTTTTTTTGGTGTTTAATTTAAAGGCAAAAATACAAACTTAGAATCTCAACTTCTGGAAGAACCATTTATTCTTTCCTTGCTTGTATCTTTCTTCGAATTTCACTCTGGTCTGGAAGCGGGCCTTCTTCCTCTTCATGGGGTCGCGCATGTCCTTTGGCGCCACTTTAACGTCAGTCAAATCGGTTACTGAGTAACGGGTGGGCATCAAGTGGTTGTAGTTCAGGGTCTAGAAAAAAAAAACGATATTTACTTATAAAAAAAAGTCAAGTTGATACACTAATACATAAAAACCATTCTCATAGATTGCATGGCAATATTCGTATGCAGTAGTAGCAGGTCAATGACACCAACTTACTGACAGGAAATAAAAGTTATTTCCGACTTGTGGCTAATAGTAAATGCATAAGTATCAGCATCGTAAACCGGCTGTAATAAATTTGTTTTTGTTGAGTTTTTCATGCTTGGCAGGATTGCTATTTTCATGTTTATGAATATGATTGATAGCTCTGGTATGCTTCAGGGGTCGCTTTTTGATGGTAATCGATTAGTTTTAGTTTAATTTTTAGGAAAAGGTGCGGAATTTTTGAAAAATATTCCAAATTCTAATATTTATTCAAATAATACATATCTGCACTTATCTCCATCCTTTTATTTCAAATTTTGTTAACCTTTCCAGCATTTATTACAATTACTTAGTTTTAGGAACATATTTTGTAATTTTATAATAAAGGCTTATAATTGGATTTATATTTATACATATTCAGTTTAAACTCAATTACATATTTTGCATATTTACTGCCGGCTGCTTAGGAATATTTCTATTAATTAAATTGTGTGTCAAAAGTTGATATGTCACTGGTTAAAACACAAGGTGGGAGTAGCTGATGCTCTGTTTTAGGATGTGAAACTATAAATATTTTCCAAATTTACTTACAGTGTGTCCCACTTAAGGACACCCTTCTAAAAAAATTATTTTTTAACCAATTCAATTCATTATTTTTTTGTCTTAAAGCTACTCGAATTTGGCACTTATTAGGCTCATAATTTTATTTCTACGGCAGTACTGGTGTACAGGGTGTCCACATTTATAGGCTCAAATTTCAATAAGTACTGTTAGGGAATTTTTTAGATAAAATCTGATAGCAGATTCTTGTTTGGAATGGTCTAAAACCCAAATGTACTAATTTTTGTTTCAATACGATACAGGGTAATGACAACAAATTTTTGAAATTTAATGAATCAAACCACAAAAATGTTATATTTTGAGAGAAGCTTACTATAAGTTTTGGTTGAGGATGTTCTAAAGCTATATTGTATTAAGTTTTGTTGTTCTCAAGGCCTCAGAATATGAAATTTTTCCAGTTTGGTCCATTAGATTTTGAAAATTTGTTGTGATCAACCTGTATCGTATAGAAACAAAAATTCATACATTTGGGTTTTGGACCATTCTAAACAAAAATCTGCTATCATCAGATTTTTTCTAAAAAAAAATCCCTAATAGTACTTATTGAAATTTGAGCCTATAAATACACCAAACTGCCGCAGAAATAAAATTATGAGCCTAATAAGTGCCAAATTCGAGAAGCTATAAGACAAAAAAAGAATGAATTGAATCGGTTGAAAAATAAAAATTTTAGAAGGGTGGTCAGTCCTTAAGTGGGACACACTGTATAAATTATTTTTCCAGTTTTTCTTTAAATTTTCATTTAAATGTTTTACAAAGTTTATCATTTTTTGGGTGAATATTTTAAAATGCTTGTTTTATTGGTAATTATTCAACTATAGTCGATTCGCCCGAGATGGTTAGTTGGTTAATAATGTTTTTGTCTCATTTCAGTAGGACGAGGACACTTCGTTTAGATAGACGAGTTGGTATTGATAAAATGCTATGTGGCTGCAACACAGTAGTGGAGTCCCAGCACATTAATTAAATAAATAAAATGAGGTTTATTGTGTGAAAATCAGAACATACATTCAGCAATAAAAAAGGTAATGGCTTCTTCAAAAAAAAAAAAAAAAACAATCAAAGATTGCTATGGTTTTTTAAATGTATGTCTTAGCAATATTTTTCTGTCAATGAACTTTAATGTCAAAAATCCTGACCAATGAATAGAGATGGAAAATTCGCGAGAATAATAAAAAAGAGAATATTCTCCAGAAAATTCTCAAGAATATTCTCAAATTTGAGAATTTTCTGAGAACGTCTTTTTAAACTAATATCAACCTAATTATAGCCAATTATTACGCAACATTATCACTATCAGGTTAGAAGGGCTAAAAAAAACATAGAAATACCCAAGGAAATACCTATTGAAATCAGAAATCCAAGATCCCAAGGTCTTGAAACTTGACGTCATCATTTCTGATTTGAAAATGTGAATACAAAAAGAGAAGCCTTGTGTCTGACTTGAAATCGCCTGAAAGTAGGGCCTCGATTCGACTTTTTGTATTTGCCAGTAAAGGTGGAATTCCTTGCCAGTAATTTTGCAAAGAGCAGTTGGCAACATTGGTTTCGTGTTACGTAAACGCGAGGTGGTTAGGTGGAAGAATGTTACCGTGAGAATTTTCTAGTAGAGAATATTCTCGTTCTCGAAACCCGTTATGCAGTACTGCTAAGCATATTTTCATGCACACATGAGACTGTTCATAACAAAAAAATAATTAGGTATTATTATGCAATAAAATTTACACTTAAAGTCCATGATTTAAATCAACAAAAAATGTTTGCAAAGATTCCTCATAGACCCTACGTTTCATATTTCGTTTTGGTATAATTTTGTAAATATGCGGGCCCAAGTAAGAGGAAGACGATTAAAAAAATTCAGTATGATGTAATGGTATTTCAAGAGTGTCTATGTTCCTTGTTGACCTGGTATGAATGTCACCAAGTCTCACCAATAGTTCGGAGAGATATTCTGGGCAATTGATCTTAAAAAAAAATTGTATCAAAACAGCAAAATGTAAAAATCTTCTTTTTTTCATCTTCAGCATTTCAATGTTAGTAATGTAAGGTGTAACATGTCCTCGTCTCTTTATGTTGAATATATATTGTACACAATTGTTCTAAATAGTAGCCTATATTTGTTTTGTTCTATTAGAAAGGGTCTATAAACAGAATCTGCATAATTGCAGTGTGCCAAGACTAGCGACTCTGTTAACATGATTTTGGCATTAGTAGGAAGAAAATGTTTAAATTCATACAGCTTCTTCAAAGCAAAATATGTTTTCTGAGAAATGGCACCAACGTGCCCTGTGAAAGATAAAGCAGGATCTAGCATCAGATTTAGATTCTTTACTTCCCCCTCCCATTCAATATTATGCACCAACACCTGCACAGTGTGCAGTGCACACAGCTCAAATCTTTTGCATCTATATTCCTTCCAAACAAAATAGCTTTAGTTTTTGATGGATTTACGACTAATGCATTCTTCTGTGCCCACTCAGTAGCCTTGATAAGATCCTTATTAATTTTTCCTAAAGTTGAGTCAAAGTTATCCTTGAAAAATGGCAGATATTCTTGAATGTCATCACAATAGGCATGCAAAGAACTATTCCGCACAACACTTGTCAAGTCAAATGTATAAATGGAATACAACAGTGGTCCAAGAATGGACCCTCGGTTCTGAGAGCTTAGTGATACCTGAGATGTTCATTCGTGTCAGCTGGTAACGCCTAAATAGATAATCATGAAACCATGAAAGGCTAATATGATCAAAGTTCAAATAATTGAGCTTATATAGTTAAGAGAAGTTCGTGATTTATTGAATCGAAAGCCCTTGTCATGTCCAGTAGGACCAAGGCTGTCCACTGTCCCTTGTCAAAAGCTTTAACAATATCATTGACTATTTTGAGAAGAGCAGTAGTGCCACTATAATTTGAATGAAATCCTGACTGAAAAGGTGGCACAGTGTTAGTTAGTTTCACATACTCATTCATCTGTTGATGAGCCACTTCTTCCAAAATCTTTGAAGCAGTTGGCAGTAGACTGATAGGCCTAAGATTTGTGATTGTTGGATTGGGTTTTTTGGGGAGAGGTCGTATTAGAGCAATTTTCCATAGGTCTGGAACTTTTCCCTGTTCTAAAGAGAAATTTTTAATGTTCACAAATGGATTTAGGCAATGTGGCAAACACAGTTTTATCATATTTAGTGAATGAATTATGATCAATAGTAAGCACTTTTTTCGCACTGTATTGCCACAGAAATGATATTTTTTAGTTCACAATGGAAAGATCTAGAACTTTGCATTTTTTTTTTTTGATTATTATTTTTTCATTATTTTATAGATGTCGGAGACCATCTCGATAGAATCTTTTCAAATCAGTGGATTGGAAGAGGAGGGCCAAGTGGGTGACCGCCCTGATCACCTGACCTAACTAAATTAGATTTCTTTTCAGGAGGCTACGTTAAGGAAATAAGGAACCTCAACCGCACCAGAAAATATGCACCAAAGAATCATAAACGCATTCCCAAGCATTACACCTGACCTATTAGGCAGGGTACTAAGGTCATTCCAAAATCGTATTGGTTCGTGTCTGCAAAAAACTGGAGACATATCGAACATAAGTTTTAATACATTATGAATTAGGGAAATACTTATTAATAAATAAATAATAATAATTTATTCAATATTTTCAGTATACATAACAACAGTACAATTCACAGTAATATTTTTATAATCTAATAATTTTTTATTGTGGCACCTAGGCATGAGAATGCCTGCATGTGCCACGTTTAATGGTATAACTAGTTGATAATGATAATGAATGAGGGGTATCATGTATAAAATTCTGGCCTAGCAGTACCCTAATTCATTAGAGATAAGGGCAGGTTTAAACAGTTTAAAGATTCTGTAGACTGTAGGTGAAACATCTTATAGTTATCCCTCATACACTGATTTTGAAAACTTTTGTAATTCTTAAATATATATTCTTTACAACTTTTTTCGAATTCTTTAAGACTAGGTATATCCTTAATTTTCAATGGCAATAGATTGTAGAATTTTGAAGCGCAGTTTTGTAGAAACTTAAGACTCAATGTCTTTTGGCTCTTTTGTATAGTTACGTTGTTATTCGTTTTATTACGTGTATTATGCTTATGAGCTATGAGTAATTTTGATTTATTATTTTTGTACATGTAAACGCAAGTGGACAAAATATACAGTTGCTGAATATTAAAAATATTTTCGTTATATAATTGTTTTGTGGGGTAGAGTTTATTTTTGTTGAAGATAACTTTCAATACATAATTTTGAACAACTTGTAAAGGTATTAAGGTAGTTTTGTAAGCAGCATCCCATGCTGTAATACCATAACGTAACAATGATTCAACTAGTGATTTATAGATCAATATTGATAGTTTTTCATCAAGGATTTCGCGTAAAATGTAAAATTTATATATAAGTTTTCTGACCTTTGATACAACATGGCTGATATGATGTGTCCATTTAAGGTGTTGGTCGATCACAATTATTAATATTAGATAATATTAAATTGAAGAAGTAGTCCATTTCACAAAGTGGAGGTGAAAATTTAATTCCATAAGAAAAACTCGAAGTCTTCCTCCATAAATACTTTATTAAATTAAATTAATAAAAGCCCAACATGTTTCGAGATTATTAGAATCTCATCATCAGGGGCAAATTAGCTCAGGAATCAAACAAAGGGGTGCATATTGCAGGCTGCCAGCTGAGGCTACAAAGAATAATTAAGTATGGTTATAAGTTTAGAGTAGAAAAATGAAAAGAAAGAAAAGGAAAATTAGTCAAATATTAAAATTAAAAGTTGCGTCGTCAATTAATTAATTTGTAGTGAAAATAATGTTTTTCTACTCTAAACTTATAACTAAACTTAATTATTCTTTGAAGCTTCATCTGGCAGCCTGCGATATCCACCCCTTTGTTTGATTTCTGAGCTAATTTGCCCCTGATGATGTGATTCTAACAATCTCGAAACATGTTGGGCTCATTAATTTAATTTATTAAAGTATTTGTGGAGGAAGACTTCGAGTTTTTCTTATGGAATAAGATAATATTTCATAATAAAACTTACTAATTTCATAATGTATATTAGTTTTTGTCAGATATGTGAAAATCTCAACAAATTTCAAGATAAATATTATCACAAAACATGTTTCCGTGAAACCTACTACGATTTTTATTTATAGAAATTGCTATTGCACTAGTTGCTGAAATTAATTTTTGACCAATACCTTTGAATGTATTAGGAGTTTTGATAGATTTGTACCTATCCACAAAATATGTTGGTTTTTTAATCCCACATCTAGTGACATAGAAATGTATAGGGGCTCAAATTGAAAAAAAAAATGTACTTCAAAGTTTGATTAGTTTGACACCGAATTCAAGGACATCCTGTATAGTTCGGATCAATCAGACTTGGTCAACAAGGCTGACACTACCTCACTCAATAAGTACCTCGATTTAGTTCATTGATGAAGGACCATGAAATTCTTAATCTTCATCAATTTTTAAAATCATATTGGAACAAAACTTTTGGGGTCTATTGGTAGGAGGTATCCAAATACAAAAAAAAATATAGGGCAAAATACCTAATCGGGATATACTGTTTAAAACAAAAGACATAGAGAAAATACTGACAAATCTCAAAAATCTGTCTGACCGACATTAGTTAGGTACTGCATCAAATCTAACCTAAGAATTCGTCAGGACGCTTCTCAAAAGGAGGAGCTTCCGCAGTATATGGGTAGAAACTAGAAACAATGCTTACTTGTATTTTTAAATTCACAAATCAAAACTACAAGTAAAACCTGAAAAATTCGGCAGGCAGAATCTATATACCTGAAATATAGCTAATACTTTAAAGGTGAAGTTGGGAGGTATGTCTAAGAACATAAGAACAATCCTTAAATTAAACCAGCGACAAAGTTGTGAAGCAAACTTTATTGACCAAAAAATACATAATGCATACAACAACATCTACATTCTCGAAGGCATAAAATTTATCCTGAAAACCCCGAATTTATTTGAAAACCAGAAAATTGACACAAGACAAAAAGTAAATCTAAAAACTGATATTCCTGAGGATATTCCGTATTACAAATATTTGCTCAGATAGGTACTTGTATTATAGCCTTGAGGGATTCTTCAATGATGATTATTGATTATAAATCACAGTTCCTAAATTGAAAATTAGCAATATATTGTTGCTATATTGTCGACTTTATTAACAATTGTGAGAATCTCTGTCATGGACTCTTTCATTGTAGGCTTTATCTTTGTATTTTATATTTTCCTTGCGTTCGGTATTTTGCTCAAAGTGTAGAGCGAGCTGAGCGGAGCCGTAATCACGTGACCAGCGAGCGAACGGAGCAGTTGAACGCTGTATAAGAGTACCGGAAATTTTAATAAACGAACGCGAATGAGGCTGCACCGAGTACACTTTTTAAATAAACGAACGGTAAAGTCAAGCTCGGAGAACTCAGACCAAAATAACGAACGCACGGTTTGTATTGACATGAGGCAAGTAGACTCCAGAGGGTGAAAATGTAATTTTGTATGGATCAAATGAAGCTCGAAATGAAGTAAAGTAATTAAGTCCTTAGTAAGGGACCAATAAGCGTATCAGACCTGATTGTTTTAAAAACCGCTTCAAAAATTGTAATTATGATGATTGATAACTGAGATTGTAACTATGCAAATGTTGTATAAAGCTGCCATATATTCTTCTTGTTTTGGCTATAACATATTTTTAAAAAAAGCAAAACTATTCGTTCTTACCTTGATAAAAGGCTTGATCTTGCTCCTTTTGTGCATTTTTCCTTTACCCATCCTTTTGTGAATTTTACGTGGGTACCTATCGATGCCAGCAACCAAAGCATGTCCATAGGGCTTCTCTCCGGTCCCTTCATCGAAGTTTTTGACTACGATTGCCTTTCTTCCGGCGTATCGGCCTCCAAGGACCAACACGACCTTTCCAGGTTTCATTATTTTACCCATTTTGCTCTAGAATTACAAAAACAATGTAAACTGGCGTGTAAATAAGTCACCAAATATTAGGGTCAAGAAAAACTAAAACATCCTAACATAACCTATCTTATAGGAAATGCAAGATTTTTGTATGAAAGATATTAAAAAACAGAAAAATATTCACTGGAAAAACGAGATTTGCCACGGCACTATAACAAAAAAATAAATTTCATTCAAAACTGTTGGCGGATTTCAAGATGTTTTAAGATTTTTTTCCAAAAGCTACTTACGGGACTGTATACCTTTTTAGAAAGAACTTTATAAAGAGAAAATGGAGGGAACTGTGACAAATGCTTGACACTTGGCGGCAGCGCGGATACAATTTATATGCAGCGTTGCCATTCATTTGCATTAAAATTTGTTTGTCTTTTTTGTTGATTATTTTATTATTATATTTTTTATATGACCCTGTTCTTGTCCCTTCTGTATTCTCTGGATTGCAGGGTTTCTCCATATTGGTTTTTGGATGGAATTTTGATGGATATTTACATTTCCATTTCCATATAAATTAACAGAAATTCCCACCAAATGTTTAAAAAAAGACAAATAAAAAAACCGCTTTTTGTACTCCTTTCAGTCCTCTCCTTTTACAGAGAGAAAATTTAAATAAAATTTGAAACTCATAACTAATTGTTATCTGTTTGGAAATGTATACTTATAATGTAGGTACCTATTTATAATAATTATGTATTTTATTATTATTAAGGTACCTACATAAAAATATAGATCGAAAACACCACCAAAAATACAATTTTCTCTCCACTTTAATACAATTAGCTGGATTTTGATTGAAATAAAATTCAACAGTTAGTTGTTTTGAATAAATAAATTAAATACTAACCCAAACTAACCTACCTAATATACTTAGGGCCGGTTTATTCACCTTTTGATAAACTGTCAGGTATGCAATTTGACGTATTACCACGCAATATGTAAACCCATTGGTCGACCAGTTATCAGCCGACCAATAAAATTATAGAACGGTAAATTTATCTTGCAGATAGTTACCAACATGAAGTTTATGTGAAGATGAATAAACTGGGCCTCAAGGTACCAAAAGTGTTGTCTCTTCAGAAATACAAATACATAGTACAATATGGTATATTCATATTTGCATTTAGCTAAAGTTGCATAAATTTTTAAAAACAGGATATGCTGGTTACTAATTCCATATCAGAGCTGGGCAAGCTACTTGGAAAAAGTAGCTAGCTACAAGCTACAAGCTACTTTATATTGTAAGTAGCTAAGTTACTCAGTAGCTCAACCACCTGTTTGAAAAAGTAGCTAAGCTATTAGTAACTTAACTACATTTTGAATTAGTGAAAGCTACTATTTAAGCTACTTTTATCAATGTATATGCCTTACCTAATTTAATTTCATAATATCATCATACGAAAATAACATATTAACTTTCTCTAAGAAGTGTAGTATTCATATTTTTGTCAAAAACCACTGGACAATAATTTATTAGGTTCACTTTGATCACAGTGATCTGCGAATGCGAGAATAAAATAGGACACATAAAACATAGGTACCTACAGAGATAACTAGAAACTAATCTAAGCAAGGCAGGATAAGTTTTTTTCCGGAAAATGATAATTGTAGCTTGAGCAATTAAAGTATAAAGTTACTTTTATCGAGCGGTAAATTCAAACGCGGGCGATAGGTTGGTGGAAACGTGCCTTTATAAGGGGAAAACTGTTTATTTTTGAAAACAATGTCGAATGGATGCCATTATATTATAGGTATAGTTATTTTATTTTTGAACTAGAAGAGTCCGCTGCGCATAAAACGTAATAAGTATTTTGGGCGTTGAGTATCGTTAACCACACCCTCGGGCGGTAAATGACACTTTCCGCCATTAATACCTAAATAACTATTAACTATCTACCAAAAATAGCTTAAGTAGCTTGTTTTAGTAGCTAGCTACTTTTTACAGTAGCTTATGAATACTTGAAACACATTACCAAAAGCTACAGCTACAAGCTACTTTTTTTTCAAAGTAGCTTGAATAAGTTATTAGCTACCAAAAAAGTAGCTAAGCTAGTAGCTTAACTACTTGGTAGCTAGCTACTGCCCAGCTCTGTTCCATATAATAGAGTTAATCTCTAATAAATCACATTATAGGTAGGTACCTACTCCCTTAAAACCTAAACTCAATGATTTTGTTAAGGTTCCAGATTTGTTTTCGATTTTAGAAGTGAAAGATAATGTGTTTTGTTTTTTGTCCCATCGACACGTCAAGAAACCGTACAATATACCGTCACGATTTTGCGCGAAGCCAAAATTTTTTGCGTAGAACCCGAATAAATTCGTATACGTGGGTTTCGGAACCGTCCATAGGACGGTTTTTGACGTGTCGAACAAACCTAAAAAAACTGACGAAAAAAACTGTGAAATAATTATCCAAGAATTGAGTGCAGACTTAAGACTTAATAATTGAAAACGCATTCTGCCCAAATAAATAGGTACTTGGAGAATATGTTTTTTTTTATGACCATTAAAAAATAAGCATCTATCACAATCCCTCATTAAATAAAACTAGTCCGAAGGATGTTTTATTATAACATGGTCTTAGAAAAAGTTTTGGAATAATCATCAATTTTGCGGCTTTGACGACAACTTGGCAATGCGGCACTCCTTGATGAGTTAACTATTTGGAATTCTGTATCCGCGCTGCCGCCAACTCTTGTCTGATGGACCTGTGCGTGGTGCGTGCGGCGAGGCGCGAGTTTGGCCACCCATGCTGTAGTTGTATTTTGTGTTGCCTATACAGCTATTCCTACCTTAAAGCTACGTTTACACTTCGCAAGTTTACTGGCGGAAAATACTTGCGGCCGTTAAGGGTCGGTTTCTTAATAGCGAGTCTCCCGAGTTTATAAACTAGCCAAAGGTTTGGCTATTTTGTGTTACTAGAAATCATGGGTTTTCAAATTAGCCAGGATGCATTGGATAGTTTATTAAGTAACCAGCTAATTTAGTTTTCTCAATAATTTCAAGTAAATTAGCCAAAACTCTTGGTTAGTTTGCAAACTCGCTGCTATTTTAGTAGAAATTGCGTTTTCTATCAAAATAGCCAAAGGAGTTGGTTAGTTTGTAAACTATCCAGCTAGTTTACAAACTAGCCAAGTTTGCATATTAACCGTAACATATTCACCGTACGCACCCACCAACGCTCCAGCAAAGAAACATCCAAGCTGCGTACCTACTTCTTGTTGCCGAGCAACTCGACAGGACGACAGGTCAATTGTGGAGCAACATTCAAGCTGAAACTGTATGGGACGATAACGGAATGGGGCTTAACAACTGGCAATAATATGGAAATTGTATTCCTACCTACTCCAAAAAAAGGGCAATCCGTATTTTGAAGGGTATAAATGAGTCAACGCGTACATCCTCTACACCAGTGTTCAAGGACTCTAAAATATTGACAGTGTTTGATGTCCTCGATCATTTTCGAGGCTACAAGAAGAATCCATGAAGCCAGGCAAGAATTGACAGTCGGGGGAAATTTTCATTGGTACAATACTCAAAAGACTGAAAATTTGGTCACTCCGCATTATCCTGTCTAGCAATCACACAATAGGTAGGTACTCCAATGACGCACATGGGTATCCAGCTTTATAACAAGCTACCAAGAGTTTATTTTTATTGTATTAGACAGCAAATTATGCTTTTTAAAAAAATGTGAACTTGACTAACTATCCAGTACATTGGCAAGAACATCGTCGTCTTCACTTGATGACATAATAATGTTCGTTTAACTGAACGTAGACTATAGAGAGCACGTTCAAGTGGTGGCGCCAGTACCCCGTTTGAAGTAGTCTAGAGTCTAGACGTAGGAATGTGAAGAACAAATACATATTCACATTTACTTGTATTATAACTGTTATAAACGCGAAAGTATTATTTTTATTCACAGAAGATGAAAAGTCCGTGAATTAATTCTTCACAATCAGAAACGCTCCACCCTCCGCTGCGCTTGCGTCTTGACTGCTCCAAACCACGGGGTACCTACTCTACTGACGCAACCACTGCTCCTGTTCTGCGTCAAACGCAGGAAACGAATAGCGGCAGTGCGGCAGACGCACGAACGGAATCGATTATTACCTACATCCAATTTTTATTGCTGCATTTGTATCAGACGTAGTTCGTCATCCGCGTGCGTTCGCTGCTTCATAAGAAACGTTTTGTATTTGTACCCCGTTTGAAGCAGTCTGACGCAACCGCAGCGTGGAACCGATTGGATTGTGATTGTGAAGAATGAATATTCACATTCACGTATATGATATGGCTGTAAAAAAACGCGAAAGTATTATTTTCATACATTGAAGACGAAAAATTACTAGAATTTGCTTCGAAGGTCTCTTGCTGGACTTCGCAAATACCTCATACAAAAACCAGTTGTTAAAATTAAATTAATTAAATATTGTCGAAGTTCCATGCCGTTGGGAAGAAAAGCGCCGCAAATGCTGGTAAAGACTTTGCTGGTATATATTCTCCTGTTTTACATATAAAAAAGATTCGAGTCGCGGTTGCAAAAAGTCTATGAATTTTCCAAAATTTCCTAGTAGACACCAATTTAATTTGACCCGTTTTTAAAAATTTTGACAATATATTTCTCCTTATAAAGAATCGCAAGTCATTCTTTTGTTTAGTTTTTGGATGGGGTACCACTACCATATTTAAGCAGCGACTAGTTGAAAATGTGCTCTAGAATACTGCCTCAAAATGGGTTTGAAATCAGTATCTGAAGGAATGATATAAAGAAAACTCAATAAAAATAAAAAAATAAGGTTTTTATTCTCGTTCCGGAGATTTTGAACTGGGGACCACTACCACCATCTTCGAGCAAGCAGGGACTGATGTGTTTTGAAATAATCCCATGAATTGGTTTCGGAAACGGTATAGGTACAGTGGCTAAATAAACCTTTACATACAGTGGCGACAATAGAGGTCCCACCGCCATCTTGTTCCCAACCTCTTGTTACTTTTAAATATTAATATATAGGATTTAAATGGACATCTATCATGAAAAACTGAAATCGACGTATTTGATGACCATTATTAGGTCCATCAAATACGTAAAATACGTTGTTTTTCATTATTTATAATGGATGTTCACCTAAATCCAGCGTTGCCACCTCACGAAAATTCAATGTAATAGATTGATGCCAAAATTGTAATAGATTTGACTTTTTGGTAATAGATTCTTTCATCTGTCACTTCTGTCAGTTATGCATGAGAGATAACCAAAATATTGAATAGGTGCTCCACCATTATGTGCCATACGCACAAGGTTC